CTGTAGATCTTGCATGTTTCCTCGAGTCGACGAGCGGCTTGCCAGCTTGCGGTGGATAGCCGATGCATCCCCATGGCGACCTTCCTCTCTCTGGAGATCTCTCAAGGAAGCACCCGTTGAGAAAGACATGAAGTGGACTTAAAAAGCGTGAGCGTACCATTTCCTTCTACACACAGATCGCAACAGGGATGGATCAGGACGGCCAGTAGTGTAGACAATGAGATGATCAAACTACCACAAGGCAATGCGAGACACAGCTGCCAGAAGACAGTGGAAAAACAATACACCTTAGGCGCGAAGTTTTGGTGGCACCGAATCATGCTGCTCCTCGGGCTGAAAACAAGCGGAAGGATCCAAACGACCTCCCCGGCTCCAAAGGAGGAGAAGAAGACAGAAGAATGAGAAAAAGACAAAAGCCTGCCATTCTTAAGAAAAAATAATGCTGAATAGTCTGATCCTTCGGCATTGTGGTAGTTAAGGTTCTCAAGCCATCTAAAAACTCAAAGGCATCAGCTCTTTCAACTTGGAGCTAAGCTTTATCAAGAAAGCTGAAACACTGAAACGTGAGAGCCTGAGCCCATCCCTCCTGAGATGCTTGAGCTGAGCCTGAGTAAAGCATAGTAAAGCTAGGTTGCCTTCTGAAACTTAAAGCCCAAAGAGGAAGCCCAAGGCCTAAGTCCTGAAGGCAAGGCTTAAGGTCTCAGGCTGCCCGGCCTCAGAGGGAGAGGGAGGGAGAGGGAAGGGAAGGGGGAGGATGACTTTGCACCCACGAGCTCTGTGTGTCGGGCCTGCTCCCGAGCTTTGGAGTGCAGCTCAAGGGCCTTCGCACTTGCCCACCTTCCGGACGACACGTGAATCATCTGCTGACGAGTCTGCCCAGCTGTGTGTACTCCTGAGAAACCGGCTGCGAAATATCATTGATGCCCAACTTTGCGGCCGCTTCTTGCAAGCTCGGTGCACTTGCCAGGGCGTTTGTGACCTCTACAAGGCAGATTTGACACAATCTTCACCTTCTACAGTTCTGCAGATAGAGAAAACAAGTCTTTTTGCATGGCCTGTTCATGGGCCGTTCCGAGCCAGTTGGACATCGCGCGGAGTGGTGGAGCACAGCAGCTGACCCAACGACGCAACGCAGCTGTTGCTGTAAAGAACTTGCCTCATGCAGCAAAAATTTTAATCTTGAAAGATATTGCAAGCCTAGGGTGTGGAGCCGAGGCTGTGGAGCCACAGTCAAGCGTTTCTTGCAAGACATTCAGAACGGCAACCGGACAAGCAGGTAGCAAACGATGCATCTGGAAGGGAATCTGCTTTACAATGTGGTCCATCTGACACACAACTTAGTTATTGTTCTTCTTCTCCTCCTCTGAGGGCTTCGGGCTTAGGGTTCGAGCCGCCCGTGCTACAGCGCGCTCCAAGGTCGGAGGTGACAGCTGCCCCCCTCTGATTGTTCGACTGTGACAGCATTGGCTCAGCAGGGACCGACAGGTTTGGTTAAACTAATGGCAGTTGTTGGGGTTTGGATGTCCCATGAATACATTTACTACTTCTGCTCCGCTACGTACTTGGCATTGTACACCTTTAAGCCCCGGCAACATCCTTGCTCACAAAGTCCTTCCTCCGCAGCCTAGGCCTGCAAGAACCCTTTGTGGTGCCAGCCCTTTCAACTGGCACTGATGCCCAGGCATCAGTTCTGACTGCAAACCATTCTTTCCTCCTTTCTTTCTGTCTTTCCTTCCTGCTACTGGTACCATGTGGTCTGTTCTCTAGATTTGGGCCTCCCTTCGGAGCCGGTACCCCAATTTCAAAACGCAATACAAGGGGACCGTGTTGTAACAAGGAGCCGAACAACATCAAACAAACAAAAGACCTACCAGATGTCATGAAATCTTGTCATCCGGACTGGAAGGTTTGTGCCAGTCAAACAATGCTCAGACACTGAACCTCGGAATTTAGCACACTCCCAAGCTTTCAGAACTATCCAAGCCGTTTTAGTAGCCTCAAAGCTTACTCGCTCATCAAAAATTCCGAACATGTTCCAAACATCCACTCAGAAGAAGCTATAAGACGGGTCAATAAATCCAGAAAGCCAGTGCATTTCATCGCACGACGGGTTTCCATGTAGCACTCTGGAACGCGCTCTCGCTCTTGTGCCCACGTTGTCAGGACATCTCTTCACAGACCACGGCTGAGTGTATCTGCTCTGCTGAAGCTGATGCGTTGTCTGCAGCAGCTTCCTTTTACATGCGTCTTTGTTAAGGGAAGTACATGCTCTTTTCGGTCGCAGTGAAGAGAGATGCCAGCTGATGCAGCTTCTGTGATGATGGCGAAATGCTTGGCACCGGTCTGGAAGGCATGTTGAAGTTACGCAGATTCCGCGATCTCTCAACCTGACATGACAGATGTCACCAGGCGCTGATGGGCGGCTGAGTCAGCCTTCAACATGGGCAGAATCACTTGCATCACTCGTTTCGCAAACTGCTTGTACCCTTCTTGCCCGTAATGGACTCCGTCTGTCGAGAGAGCTGCGTCCACTGTACTTAAGTCCACGAGGAAGCGGAGACCGCGGAGACCTGCTCCTGGAGCCGCAGCAGCTTTCGATGGTTCCGATGGCAGATGGACTTGATGGAGGCTTTGGAGGCCTTGATTCAACTTCACCCTGTCGGCATCCCTGCTAAGCAGAGGCGGCAGCAATAGGATACCAACATGGGGATGAAAAGCAGCCTGTGAGGCAAATTCACATATCTCTCTGACCCTTGCCATAATACCAGGAATCGAAGCGCTCACCGCCTGTCGCGGCAGCTGCAGCAAGTCGTTCGTGCCAGCCAACACCAATACAAACGACAAGCGACCGCCCCGTGACAGCACCGATTGAACCAAAGATGGTAGGCGCCGGAGAACTTGATCGGTTGTATCCCCCCAGTTGCCACCATTCGAGACTTTGATGTCAATACCCTCATCGTCCAACATAGCTTGGAGTTCCTGGGGGTACGAGGTTGCATCTCTACTGCCAGAAGTCAGACTATCACCAACGCACAGGATGGTAGGCACCCGCTTTCGAAACTCCACCGGACGCGCTTGGCCGCTGGAGCTGGAACTTGTCGAACACGCTTCGCGGCTGACGGGGCTGAATTGGAGTGGTGTTTTGTCCCATGGCTGTGTTTGCATCGGCAGCTGTCTGATGTAGGTTGGACCAGACGAACGGGTCACCTTGACCAAGTCGCATGCGTTTCCCAAAGGAATCATCCACATGAACCTATATATGAGTCTATATCAACCAACATGAAGCAACCCCAGGTTGGAGCCACTATAGAGCCTATGCTGGACCTTGCTGAATAATCTGAATACAGCCGGGAACAAGCCAGGCCTGCGTTGGCCAAGCGCTGCTTGTAGCGCCACTGGCATACACCGTTGTGGGCTTCTGGTGCCTGGGTACCTTCCACATTCGATCGATTCGAAGGCCACGCCAGTTCAAGTGGGACTTGCTTGTGCATTCTCGTTCACAATTCGTACCGAGGTATGTCTCCAAGTTATACTGCATTCCTGCCAGTTCGCTTTGCCATTTGGTGTTTCTTACTGCCCTTTGTCATAGAGATTCATAGAGTCATAGAGCCTACATGAGTCTTCCAACATACGTCACATACATATTGCAGCCCTCTATATGTACATATACAGATATACACAACCAACATGGGACTTCCGTGGAGTTCTTTGAAGCATCGATGTCCTACCCACCCCTTCAAAACTTCCAGGTTGAGGTCCCAGGATCATGCTTCTCCTTCTTTGAAACCAAGTGGCACACAAGCTCCGGCGCATGGAAATTTGTGAGGCTCCGCCATCGGCGACAGGCGGTGTGACTCTAAGCATGCTCGGCTTGCATATTTTGGCATCTTGCCTGGGAATGCATGACCAACATGTCATTGCAGTCAGAACGGACTCTGCAAGCATAGCATTCGAGGCACCAAGACTGTCCTTCACAACACAAGAACCGGCCGAGTTCAGAGGGTGCGGCTCATCACGGACAACATACTTTTAATTTTAAGCTTTAAACTACACATCACTTAGTCGTCGGAGTGGAGTGGAGGGGAGCCAGCCGAAACGCAGCATGCCATTGCAGAATCCCAATTAAAAAGCCGTTGGTTTGACGTGCTGTCACGCCCTTGTGCAACCTCATGCGGCACTCTCGCAGAGCCAAGTGCAGAATACCACTTCAGGACACGGTTGGTTTCATGTGCTCTCACGTCCGTTGGGCTTACGGTACGTGGCATGTGCATGTCGATGGATTCGGGCCGACGAAACCTAAGAACATCAAGAACCCCATTGTCACGCAACACCCGGGCCCATGAGATGCCTTCCCAGCCTTGAACAACGTAAACGAAAAAACTAAAACAGCTCTATACACCTGCCCAATGCCACGCTACCCAATATGTTATCTCTCTTGGGGGTTCCTAGGACGTCGGAAGCGACCGTGGTTTCTGTTGCTCAGGCGCACATGGCTTTCTAACTCGGCTACGTGGTCACGAGAAGCACTGGAATGCTGGCGGCACCTAAGCTGCAAACAGCTCAAAAATGCTCGAAGGTTCATCAAGCTTATGTTTGTTGAACACGCGTATGTCATGCCTGATACGGGCGCGGCAATACGAATCCAATTCAAGCCAGCAACGATTTAGAACCACAGTGGGGGCGGACAGCTGGGGGAGATGCCTCGTCTTCTTTGAAGCACCAGTCTCGCACCACCTGCAGCATGCTCGAGGAGTCTCAGGAGGACTCGCAGCTATGACAAGTGGCCTCGGTGAAGGGGCGACTCCTGGGCACTTGCTCCTTCGCTGCTCCTGAGAACTTGCAGGCCGAAAGTCGAGTGTGAGACAAGTGTGCCTACTTATGTTCAGTAAGCTGCAGTAAGCCACGCACGCCGGAAAGCATCCTTCGTCTCTGGGCTCGCTCGGGACTCCGCCACCTCAGGGCTTCAAATCCCACATGACAAGTTGGACTCTTCGCGATTCCCCCACCCCCCCTCGCCGTCCACGCACATTTAATTCTACGCTTGACTTTCGCCTTCTTTCGTGCAACAACATCGCGGACCCTCACAGAGCTTTCGCAGAAGTCTGCCTGATCCAAACCATTGCAACCTCCTGTCTCAGACCCCCGCCCCCGCCATCAAACTGACTGCAGGCTTGTCTGAGTTTGACTGCAACATACTGTAACTACTTTCACCTTTCCCAAGGCTCCTAGGACTGAATGCGTGCTCCTAAACAGGGAACTGGGGCAGGAACCAAAAATGATGCCATGGCAAGGATAGCGCGTATTCTGCAAACCAGTTTGACTTTACCCTACACCATCAGTGATTTCCGGAACATCTTGTGAATGTATGCCTTCATGTAAATCCGCAGTCACACCTGTCATGTCGTGAACACCCCCCTTAAAGTTTGATGAAGTCTGCGGGCCTCCTTCGCATACCTCCAGACAAAGTTGTCCGCACCAAAGGCCTCGGATGAAGCTAAAGCTTGGTTAGCGACACGTCTAAGAAGAGATCACTCTCGCTCTCTTCCTCCTCTTCTTCCTCTTGTTCTTCTTCTTCTTCTTCTTCTGCAGGGAATGGGGGATCCCCGGCGCACCAGGCACGGACGAGGGTAAGTCAGGCCTTGGTGACACTGTTCTCTCTTGCTCTCCCTCTATACGCATAGCCCCGCGAAGGGAGGCCGCCCCCAGGGGCGCGCGAGTATCCAGGGTCCGTTGGCGACATTAGCTGCTTGTTGCAACCTCTCTTGATTGTGATACAGCTTCCTTCCTTCCTTCCGCTGCACTTAACCCGCGAAGGGGTCGCCCAGATGGGCGTGCTCCAGTGAGTCAGTTGGTGAAATTACAAGCCTCGGGTTGGGGTTGCTTCTCATGTGGAATGTCCCCCGCTGTGGACCCGGGCATACAATCTAGGTGGACTTCCCGAAGCAACAGGCAAACACTCATGGGACACTCGAAGGAATGGGCTAAGACATCGACATAGTATCCCCATCACTTCCACGACTCCCACCTTGTTGTCTGATACACACTACCACCTCTAGGTGGTCTGGGGCGATGACTCCCAGTTCCATATCTCTGAGGTTGATGGGACACAGCTGCACTACAAGACCTAAACTGTTCCCAGGAACTGGTCGTGACATCGTGTGCAGTATGGTGCTTCATGCTGCAATGCTCCATGCCGAGGATTTGTGGGTCGGGGGTCAGGGGGAAGAGTACACAGGGAAGGTTGGTCCTCAGCACAGGCGAGCTATCTCTCTCTCTCTCTCTGATCTGGGCCAGTCGTAAAATCTTTCTAAGACTGCTAAGAGCCATGCCCTTCGATGGGCTTCAACGGCAAGGTGCACCTTGCTGCTCCAATAGGATCCAGTAGCACTATAGTATGATATGTTGCAGAGTGTGTGCTGCGAATGCCTTGGTACGCTTTGGGTACGGGCATAGTCAATGCCTGCAGCTCCACCTCGGGGTGCGATTTGTGCGTTGCACAGAGCAGCCTCACAAGTTGTGGAATTGCTTTCCCGGCTGACATCGGCTGGCTCATGTTGACTTTGACTTAACTCATACTGATCATTGAGCAGTGTGTGACGATCCCGGCCTGCATGGCGTAAACGACCAAGGCTTCGTCAAACGGCGGGCAATGATGACAAGTAAACGCGGCGTTCTGTCGCCAGACCTTCCAAGCAGAACTCGCCCGGCTCCTTCAAACTCCGTTACCACTTGAGGGACAAGCGCGTAGAACAAATAAATCAAACAAGAAGACCGGAGCCCCAAGCGAGTGAACTGGCGAAACTTCTTGCCGAAGACACGAGGCACCTCTCACATCACTAGACACGCCCAGCGCCTGGAGGGCACCTTGCCAGTCTTCCATCTGCATCAAGGCCAAAGCCTATGGAACTGGCACACTGATGCACACTGACATGATCTGAAATGATCTGTCCTGATCTGACATGATGTGACCGTGACTCTTCGGGTTCAGGGGTCAGTTCCGGCCTGAACGACGCGAAGCTCCTGAGCATCTTTCCCGAGCAGCACAACCGTGGCCGTTGTGGCAGCTGTGGCCGCGGTCTCAGGCCCTCTTGCGCCCTCAGAGGGTTGCTACACAGAGAAGCCATGGGGCCATGAGAAACCATCGGAAATGATGAATGCCTGTTGATTGTTGACGTCTGGGGACTCCTGGGACTCGGACAGGTTGCTCAGTGACAGAATGGTGGTCAGAACCCACTGCACCAGCTTCATCTTCCACAGGCTCTTCCTGACACAGCTGGGGCAGCGATAGGCCGTGGGACTGAGGGACTGTTGGGGCAGTCCTCCGATTTGAGATGCTGTAAGAGCATTACAACATCTTTTTTTTGTGCATTTCTTGGCAACTAGATCTCCTCCTCGGGCTCTTCCTCGCCTTCGTCCAGGTGGCCTTGAAGGGCTGCTGCCACAGCCTTGACTCGCTCCTGTGATTTGGCATGCATTGGCTCATGTATTCGCCACATTTGCAACATCAAGATACACCAAAGAAATCTCATGCAATCACACCGTGAAGCATTCGCAGACTTATCGGTCCTGCGGTGGCAGCAGTGCCAGCTTGGCTTGAACTTGCGAGTCTACTCGCATGAAATTCCTCCGGGGCAAGGAGGTTGGTGTGGCCGAGCAAAGGCAACGGCCCTTCACCTTGAACTAAAACAGCCTAGAAGGTCCTGTTTCTACGTTACAATTCGCGATCTACAAGCTGGAAGAAACTCATACACATCAATCAGCACCAATCCAGCAAGCGCACCTACGGCCAGCACTTGCATCATCTGACCTTGCTTCGGGCTAGTATGACATCGTCTTCCATGGTTCCAAGGTCGCTGTCCAGCTTGGCTGGCTTCTCTCCCTGTGCTGAGATGCGAGCAAGCTTCCTTCTGCCTTGCATCGGCTGCAAGCGCAAACAAAGTCGCGATTCAGAGACCTCAGCCGTTATTGTGACTCTGTACGTGCTTGGCAACGTTTCATGTTGTTTTGTGACAACAAGTGAGTCTGATTTTCATCACATAGTAGCTCAGCAGCGTAAGCATGACGGAGCAGCAAAGACAGCACAAGCATGCGCAAAGGGGCGTACTGGCTCCGCAAGGACTTGGGTGCACATAGCAGTTCGGACCTCAACACATGCTTTGGCCAACAGTCACCAATATGATCTTGGCTTCACTTGGCGCTGCAAGGCTTGGTGAATCGCTCAATGTAGCTGATGCAAAGCCTCGGGGCTCGAGAAAGTACATGAACACATCATATGTATTAATATACATATATATATATGTATACTTATATATGTATATGTGTGTATACATAGCTATGTATACTGTACAAAACAAAGTCGAACTGTAAATGCATTTCCAGACACATCTCCAACGATTTCGAACTTCTGCCCGCAGGTGCTGAGAGGTGCACTCGGCCCCAGCTTCCACAGGTCGGTTCGTGACAAACATGGTCAGATCTCCCAAGGAGTAGCGCTGCACCGAGGGCCTCACAGCAAACAGCGTCACAACATTGACATTGGAATGTGCAGGATCCCTTCTTCCCTAGCCCAGCCCTGGCCGCAAGTATGAAGGACTGCAGAACGGGAGCGCTTAACAGGACAACCTGACATGAAAGAGACTCTGGCAGGTCGTTCTTCGTGGTCTTCTTATTTGCTGAGCCTAGGGCTCGCAGGAATGGTTGAAGCCGCTGGCCAAGCTGAAGAGACCGTTTCCGGTGAGGGCTGCAAAGTTGTCGTGGTGGCCTCAGTTCCGAAAAGTGCGCTTAGAGAAAGACCGAAGCTCCCGCATGTACCATGCTGACGGCTGCATCAATCGGTTAGATCTCTTCACTACACGCTTTTTTTGAAACTCGCTCTGTGATGCTTTAAGCTTTACGAAGCATGGCACACTCATGGCACCGGGCCCTGCGCAAAGTTGCTCTGAGTTCGTGTAGAAGCCCAAAGAATTCAGGCCTGAAGACACGCTGACGAATCTTGGCGAGCATGAAGCAGCCGGGGTCTTCACGTTGCGAATCTGGGGCAACGGCGGACGACATCTTCGAGACGGCTTTGGGCTGCTTTGGAGATGTCCGCTTGCTTCCAGGCATTGTCCACTGCCTCTTTCATTGCAGCCTTGAGCATTGGCTCATCCTCAAAGCTGAACGAAGCTGAAAACAACTGGCCATAGTTTCTGGCAAGAGACACGTCAGTCCACCTCTTCATCTGAATCTGCGCCATTCGTAGCAGCACCTTCCTGACCATGCACCACGACCATTCAGTTGGCTCATCTATACAATCTTTGGAACAACAGAGTGCGGCGGAATGGCTTGGTTACCAAACGAGCCCATTGCTATGTCAAAGAGATGCACAGTCTCTTCGAAGTAGGTGACGCTAGTGTGGATGTGATATACAACATGCTTATTTAATCTTATTTAGGGTGGAGAACCCCGCTATTTCTGGGGTCTAAAGGAGTAGTATGGAGTAGTCTTGAGTCACTCATGGAGAGATGATGACATGGCCGCCTGCGGGTGAAAGCCTGAAAGGAGCAACGCCAAGCTCGCGGAGTGACATCTTGCCAGTTCAATGCCTCACGCTGCACGACGGCTGTGCCGGTCTGACTGTGCCGATCTCACACGCGAAAGCTGGCCTAAAGCTGCAGAATCTGAACTGCCACATTCTGCCCAGCATTCATCCTTACAGTCTTGAGCTTTTGGATTTGCATTTTGAAAAGCTAGAAAAAGGTTTGAGCGGCTTTAGCCTTTTCTGGAAGGCGACTCAAGAGCCTGGCGCCGCACGCGCCATTCTCCATCCAGCACTGCTACCTGGGGATCCCGAAGCTGCACTTTGCAACACCTTGCAACACCTTGCACTTGCGATGCGTAGAGTCGTAGAGTTCTTCTTGGGCCCTCCACAAGCCGCAGCCTGCAGTTGGCTTCTTGATTGCGTCCGAGCTGGCGCTCCGAACCCTCCATACCGTCACTTACACCCTCCCAGTGCCAGGCCCCACCACTTCCCACTTGACCAGCGAAGCCACCACGTTTCTGATCTCTGCCGTGAAGAAGCGGAACCAGCATGAGTTAGCACCACGGACGGACCGAGCTGTGTCTCAAGCTGCCCAGCGCTCTGCTTTAAGGCGGTGGTGGTGCAGACAGCAACCTTCCAAGCAAAAGTTCGTTTGTTCCTCGGCAGATTATGTTCGATCATGTGCGGAATCTTCGAAACTTTCAGGGCAATCCACGCGTGTTGCTGGTAACTAATTACTGCCATGTTGCGACAGGCCGCTCGACAAGGAGCATGACCCCAGCATCCAGTGGTGCTCTTGCATACCAGCCTCGCCCTTAGAACGCCGATGAACGCAGATGAAAGCACATCTAACTACAAATTTTCAATGCACAGACATGTAGAGGGCAGCGACACCTTTGGTTGGCTGCGCTCAGATGTGCTCAGGCTCAGCTTGGGCTCCGACCCGTGGCGGCAGATTCTTGCATGGCGATGGCAGATGACACCTCAGCTGTCTAATTTGAAGCTCAAGTGACTCAAGTGATCTCAGGATCACTCAGGTGCTCCACTGGTGCCCCACTGCTGCCCCACTGCATCTCAGGCATCCGCAAGAAACGATGGCGATGACTTGAAGGAACTGCCGGATGGGTCAGACCTGCGCCGTTGCATACAAAAAACGTTCATGTCCCCCACTTGATTTGGCCTACCGTGCTTACAGCATCTCACAGCACCATGGGCCTCGAGGTCGCAGCCCAGATCGATAGCTTCGAGGCGGACCCATCCAAGCCGGAATCCAAGCACTCAAGTGGCAAGGCGCTTGCCACCTTTTGGAACGATAGTTTGTTGGCCTCCGGAAAGAACCCGACAGCATCAGACGGCTCATATACTTCACAAAGCTGGCGCTGGCAAGGCATCTGAGGCAGGATCCCAAAGAGGCGGGGACGTCAGCGTGTCAAATGCCCGCTGAAGCTTCTCCCAATCCATCTGCAAGAAAACATCGAACAAACACTCCGTGAGCACTGGGCAAACCAAGGCGATCAAAGGCGCGCACCGAGACGGCCACATCTGCACATTGCCAACCCCACAAATCTCCACAGTCTACCGGGGTGCGCCTTAGGCGGAACCCACAGAGGATCCGGAAAACAGAAAGCAGTTTAGTCCCAACTGAGAGCCGAACTTCAGCCTCTTTGCCTGCCACCGTATGGCATGGGTTCAGGGCGTGTGTCTACTTGCTAAATGTTGGCATGTGGAATCATGTGTCATGAAGACATCTCCATTCAAGGCTCAGCTGCCTTTTGCTTGCCGCGCATGGCCCCGGGTCAAGCAGAACATGTGGTCCGATTGCAGCTGTGAACAGCCAGAGGGAGTGCAGTAGACTGTATATGTAGACATGTACTCAGTCCGAGAGACGACTGAACTGTGACTGACACACTTATACCATATTGGTTATGCTGGGCTGGAGCCGAAGAAAAAGATGCTCCCCGCAACTCGTCGCTAAAACAATCATGGAAGCATTGAAGAGCAGCCGGTCCCCACCCACTGGACATTTTAAGACTGGCGGGGGCTCTAGATGCCAAAATGTTCATGGCACCCGAGGCGTGAAACAGAGCAACGGCTTTGAGAAGCAAGAGGAACACTGGGCTTGCCAGAGCACCGCATGCCAAGAAAGCAGCACAAGCATTGCCACTTGTACAGGCTTCCGTGAACGTTAACCTGCAGCCACATCGGCAACTGGCACGCGTCAACATCCTATCCTATGAAACCTGTCTGTCCTTGTACAGTACTGCGCTGCATGGTTGCACAAGGTTGACAGCTGTCGCCAGCCAAGGTCTGCGCTTTGAACCAAGTGGTTCCTGACATCGTTAACGAGCTCCACCACGCCTGATCTCAGGTGTATGCAACACTTCGCGAGACATGAAAAACTTTCTCCACTTACTCTTTTACTAGGCACGCGGCTTACCAGTCACGGCCGCTCCTTTGGCAAAGCCTGAGAGACTTGACTACATGAAAAACGGTCGGTGTCGTTCGTGTGCTCAGCCCTGCCTTGGCTGATGGAGTCGTGAGAGAGTTGAGGCAGCACCTCGCGACCATTCTTGAATCTATGTTGTAACAATGTCTCTTGCGCAACCAAGAACCCCAGCATCAATCATGCCTGAGGAATGACTTGGTCATTGGTGGGTCACTACCTTTGATATGTAGGTAATGTTGCACCCGTTTTAGTATCACTACGAGCTATTCTGCGAAGTTCCGGAAAAATTCTAGAGGAAACCCCTTTTGACCAGGGTTACCCGCAACTCTGCGAAGTTCTTCGCCGGGACAAAAGGGCCGTTTCATCTAAAAATGAAGCTGAAGGCTACCAAGACTACCATTACTACACAAAACCCCGTTCCCGTTAATAGACGGTGAGCCAAAACCCAAAATTGTTTGGGGGTGCCAAAGCGAGTGCAACATTATGCAGTAAGGTTCATGGACCCCCCCTTTGTCATCATAAGTTACGCTTGGGCTGCGTTGGTTTCTATGTGTTGCGATATGGCTCATGCGATCTCATGCGTGTATTACCTGTGCTCATGTGGCTTAAGCGCATTGGCAGTCAGACAGGGGCTATGCTCCATCGCAGCGCACGTAGCTTCCCCCCCAACCCCAACCCCCCTTGCATTTGCAGCCTGCCTTTGAAAAAATGATTCCGGGAGCATGCATACTCTTGGCAGCTCACGCCGCCCAGTCACGACCCCCCGCCCATTTGCGGCTCCCTGCACCCCTTGCAGTGCCCCTGCAGATTCAGACAGGCATAAATGCATTGTGTTTTTCTGCTGCAGGTTCTAGCGTGGATAGCTTCCTCCAGCGCCCGTAGCGAAAACGCCCACCCGTGCTGGTGCAGTTGTGAGGTTAGCAATGCACAGGTTACCCACCCCATTTTGTATTCACAAGCCTGGACCGTGCTGCTCCCTGTGAAGGACGGAAGGGCTGAGGAGCAAAAGAAGTCAGGTCCGCATGATAAAGACAACCTAGAGAAGCGCTACGGAAACAGCAGAACTGTTGAGAATAAGAGCTCGGTGGGGGCAAAAGGAGCATCAGAAAACAACACCCAGTCAATATGGACATGTGACACGGGCGCGGACTCATGCACGCACAATCACCAAGCTTCGTGCCAGGTCGGAGTCTTCGCTTCTGATGATTCTGGCGGAAAGTGGTCCTTGCTTTCGAACCTTCGCAAGGAACAACTCTGAACATCGCGAAATTGCAAACACAAACACTTCCACAGCCACTGGTTGCAACAATCCGCCGGCAGCCTTGCTCTCCAGGGCTAGCCTGCAGTGCAGTTAACAGGTTGAAAGCACATTTACCAATCACGACACTGTCACTGTTCCTCACTTGCATATTTGAGTTGAATAATGCCTTGTCACGAGTGCTTAGAGGGTGGTGCATTGGCAGTGCACATCGGACATCTTGTCCGGCTGCAGAAACTTGCTGTAGAAAGGTACCCATACTGATTTGAAAGCCAATGACCTTGACTAAAGGAGCACGCTGGAATTTGCTGATTGTTCATTCGACACATTCCATCTGCCATCCTTCCAACTCTCTGCAATATCTATACCAATGCTATGCTATGCCATGCCAGGCCATGCTTATGCTATACGTATGCTATTGACCATGACAGAACCATGAGCGTAAACCCGCAAAAAGTCAAGACCGCAAGCCCAAGTGAACCCCAACGCGCTTGTACTACAGAATTACTACGTGTCATGTGTACTTCAAGATGGTGCAAGTCCACTTTCGAACCACCGGATCTTCGGACGTTCTGGGACGTTCTACGAATTGGATAAGCGGGCTCCCATGCAGGGACGCCATCGACAGCTTCAACAAAATCTACAATCGAGTAACGTAAATGAGCACATGTCTAGGTTTGTCGTCTAGTGATTGCGCCTACGCGTGACAGTCCCGGCTGCAACGGCGAAAACTGAACACTCAGTCATGCGCACGCGGATGCTCTAACAGTCGGGAAGGGGGGAGGGGAGGGAGGGGGCTAATTAGGGTGTTCATGCGCAGCGAAGCCTCGCCACGCGAGCTTTCGCGATTAAAGACCCAACAGCGACGAGAGTTCGACGTTTCTGCAATATGCGCAGTGTCACCCACCACAATGAGACCGCGGCTGCCCCTCCAGCTGCAGCCGTGATGAAGTCCTACTACCCCTTAAAACCTTAAAGGTTTTGCCCGCCCACGACATACCGGCTTAGCATTTGCTGTCCCACTCAAAGTCTTGTCTAAACTTCACTAACTCCAACGCAAGAGTAGCCTGCGAAACTGCGAAACCAGCTTTGAACATACTATGCACTTGCCAATCATGTTGTACCTGCTTCAGTGGGGGCCTCCTGTTTGAAGTGAAGTTTGCCGTGCTATTCGGGACCCTGTGACTGTTTGGGGTTCCAGAGCGGAACCTCTTTAAAGTCAAGTCGTTCCCGAAATCCGGAATTCTATTTCAGTGTTTAGGGTTTCAGCGGGATTTGATTGTGGCTTCTTGGGTTAGCCCGCGATGAGGAGTGACATGTTGCATGAGAAGTACGGGTCAAGGCCTTTTCTGAAAAGGCTAAGACGCAGCTTTGATCCTGCTGCGGAAATCCCTGCAGCACTCCAATGCATGCTAACTTGCGTCTGCAATTCTGCAAAGCTGCATTAATGCCCAGGTTCTTGAAACCTTAAGCCCAGCGGGCTTCGAATTTCCAAGCCCTCCTATTGCCTGAAAGGCCAAGCTCGCTCTGGAAATCTCAAGCCCGGCGGGCTTGGGATTTCAAAACCCTGGCCTCTTGGCTTTAAGGGGGGAGAGACCGTAGCCGCAATCCCTTCCAAGGTGGGGGGGGGGAGGAGGGGCCCCAAAGCTTCAGCTCCTCTTCTTACCTAATCCCTTTCAACCCTATGCAAACTCCTCCCTATCAAGATCATGCAAAACCCATGGACCATTGAAACGGGGCAAAAACCAGCTTGGACTCTTCGAATGGGTTCAGGGGCACACTAAAGCAGGTACAGCATTCCGTGCCACATGGGATACTGAGACAGCGGGCCGGGCATCCATCTCGTCTGCAAGGCGAGCTTCCAGAGAGTAGAGACGAGCCTGAAGTTGCACTGAATCCAGAGTCTACTTATTCACTGTGTCTGCCTAGCTCACGATGCTCGCCTCGCTGATCTTTGCCGGCAGTGGAGTTGCATGAACCCACTTTGCCACCTGCAAGACTCAAAAGTCGCAGGACCGCGAGCTATGCTTCCGGAAATTAATCTCTGCACCTTCTGGTCAAGAGTCAAAAGTTCTCTTGCCAAGCCTGTCTTGCAGTCGACACCCTACCATGCTCAACGATGCTACCGGCTTCATCGTGCGGGCCGTGCAGCCTGCAACCGACTGAGCTGCTGACCGCTGAGATCCTCTCGCTTGACCAGATCCAAGGACTGCAAGGAGGACTTGAAATACTAAAATACTGACTCTACAAAAGCACTCTGCATAGCAGGGCGAGCTCTCGGGGGGCCTCGGCTGTGCTCTCGGCACAGGTCCGAATCTCGGAGATGCGCATGTCCACGCTGTCGGACATGTCCTGCACCAAGGCCAAGGCACAGGGGGCTATACTCAGTACATTTCTCTACATTTCTATATTGCATTCTATGGCCATATTGCTACTGCTTCTCCCGAAAACTGCGGGTATCGAATCGAAGGGGGTGTCGTTACTGTTTGGGGGTCCCTCGGGTCTCGACCCGATCCGCGCGCTCAGCGACCCGCAAGCGAACGCGCGGTGTATCCGCGTGCTCGCACGTGAGTGAGTTCATTCCTTCTTTGAAGTTCGAAGCTTCGAGGGTCCAAAGTGCCGACAGTCACGAGGATGGCGATTGGGTGCTGTCGCATAGCCTTGAAAATCATACGTCGTTGCTGTCCTTGTTGTAGTTGTCTTTCATGTTGTTGTTGTTGTTGTTGTTGCTGCTGCTGTTGTTGTTGACGTTGACGTTGACGTTGACGTTGACGTTGACGTTGACGTTGACGTTGACGTTGACGTTGACGTTGACGTTGACGTTGACGTTGACGACGACGACGACGACGACGACGACGACGACGACGACGACGACGACGACATTGGTTTTGCTTTTGTTGCGTGTTGCGTGTTGCTTCTTGTTTGTTGCTTGTTGGGTGTTGGATATTGGTTGTTGGTTGTGGCTTTTGGCTTGTGGCTTGTGGTTTATTGCTTGTTGTTTGTTGGTTGTTGGCTGTTGTTTGCTGTTTTCTGTTCCTTGTGTGATGTTTGTCGTTTGCTGTTTGTTGTTTGGTGTTTTGGTGTGTGCCGTTTGTTGCTTGTTGCTTGGTGCTTGTCGCTTGTTGCTTGTTGCTTATAGGCTGTGGTTTGTGGTTCGCGGTTTGTTGTTTGTTGCTTGTTGCTCGTTGTTGGTGATTGTTGTCCGTTGTCATGTTTCTGTTGTTTGTTGTTTTTTGTTCGGTGTTTGTTGATTGTTTTTTGTTGTTTGTTGATTGTTGTTTCTTTTTTGTTGTTTCTTGTTGTTTTTCGTCTGTTGTATGCTGTTTGTGGTTCGTTGTTTCTTGCCTCGTGGTTGTTGGTTGTCGTTTGTTGGCTGTTGGCTGTTAATTGTTGTTTGATGTTTGGTGTTTGTTGTTTGGCGTTGTTGTGTGTTGTTTGTTGCTTGTTGCTTGGTGTGGTTGTGTGTTGTTGTCGTTTGTTGTTTGGTGTTTCTTGTGTGTTGTTTCTTGCTTGCTGGTTGTTGGTTGTTTGTTGTTGGTTGTTGCTGCTGCTGCTGGTGTGTTGTTGTGGGGCGTCATGACGGCGACTCGCCCGAGAACTCACGCTACCACGTCGTGGCGTTCTGTTTTGTCGTGGTCCTGCGATGCCTAACGGGTACTCATCTTCATTTGGGCTCGTGGCCTTTTTCAGGCTCTTGCATACTGCAGAGGCTTGTCGCACCTGGAGCACCGTGCTCAGGTCCATGTGCTGCTCATCATGTCGCTGGGCATGGGCTGCCTCTGTCGGCCGTTGACTTGATTTGGACATATTTGGATGTCCGATGCAAGATGATATAAGATTCATGTAAGCACCCAAGGCTCTGGCAATCTGATTTGACAACCCGTCGATGGCAGAATCGAGATCCGAGCCCTTGGACTTGTGCTCCTGGAAATTTCGGCTTTTCCCCAAGATCGATCTGTTCAATTTAGGAACAGCAGACGCCAACAAAGCCACTGTGTCCTTGTCAACTTCGGTCAGCTTGGTGAAGATCTCCTCGATTTTGGAAACCAATCGCGGAGCCTCGCCAACTGGCCAGCAGCGACTGTAGCGAAGATGACATGACAGAGCGTGACAGAGTATCAATGAGTAGCTGCTACCGCGCAGGCCTGGTCTCTTAGCTTGTCGATGTCAACTCTCATGACCTTGGACAGGATCAATAGCAAATTCTGCTTTGCCAAACTGTGATCTTCACTAAGTCGGTGACATCAGTTTTCACGTGCATCGTGTTCAAATATGCATTGAGGGGATTCATGTGACCCTCCACCATCTTTGCAACCTGTCAAGCCGAAGATGCTACAGCGCGGCGTGGCAAACGTGTTCAAGCCTGGTTGCTGTGGTCTTCAATTCTGTCGTCGGTTTGACCTAAACTCGAAGTCTAAGTGGAACCTAGTCGATGCTGGTCAGCTCTGTTGCCGAAAGAACCGACTGAGACTAAGGCGGCTGATCTCTACAATGAGGCGCTGCACTTCCGATACGTGATCCTTCAACACAAAGGTGACACTGTGTGGGTCACTGCACAGGCACTGCCATCCCATCAGCCCATAGCCGCCTCCACACGACGGCAAAGCTTGTCCATGCTCTGCTCCGTCAATCTGTGCAGGCTTTCCAGCTCCTAGGCAGTCCGAATCGGAAAACAAGGATGCAGTCGGACACACCAAAAAAACCTACTGAAACTCCAATGAAATATGATGTGCCTCGCCCTTCTGTCGCACGGCCGACTCCACGTCATGATGCTGCACGCGAGTTGCATGCAGCTCCTGCCTCAACTTTCTGTTGTTGTAGGGGCGCATGAACATTATTAACAGGATTTAATCATACACTTTACTCGCTCTTCTTCTTCTTTCTCACACAGTTCGTGCACTCTTTCACTTGGTTCATTCGTTTGCTTTTCACACAATAATATTACTGGTGTCTTCCTCGCGCGCTACTACTATACTAATAGTTCGCCACTCTGAGAACAGATGACTAAACACTTCATAGAACACATGAATAAACACTTCATAAGACTAGTTCGCTCTCCGAAGTCACATGAAGTCACTCAAGCTGAGCTGAGGAGGCCACACTGCTGTCTGCATCTGAGCCAGTGCTCCACCCAAGGAGTCTATAGCATGGGAACTTTCCTGCAACGGCATATGACAGCGTGCCCGCGTGCCCTGGAAGATCCGAGCCTTGCTACAATGCTGCAAATATGCTGTTCAACGACACATAGCATCTCTTCTCTGGATCTGCACATTCAGCACACATTCGGCATCCTTGAGGAGCTCCCGCCAGGACAGTATCCTTTCATTGGATCTTTCGGAGACACTGCGCAACTCCTGCACAGCCAAAGAATCAGTCAAAGATTAGATTAGTCAAAGATTACACGCATAAATGCAGGCAAAAGCTGAAACATTCTGCGCCTCAATTGCAGAATGAACGGATTCGTGACGATGTCGGTCTTCAGCTTGCATTTCTTCCCATTTTTGGAATGCCTGCAAGCACATTCTCAGGGCCTTCTAGCTTCACAGAGGTCTGCAAGCCGTCTATCACTGACGCTGGGTCATGAGCTAGCTCCAGACTGCCAAGTTCGCTTTCCAGACCTTCGGCCGCAACATGCACTCCCCGAACTGCTTGGCTCCAAGGGATTCCAACGTTAAAAGTGAGGGTTAGATTGCCGTGGCCTTCCGCGCGGTTTTGGGTCAAGGTCAAAATCAGGCTCCCGTCTAGCCCGTCTAGGCATGGCTCTTGACCGGCGCTCAAAATCGTGCTTTCGCATCGTCCCGTGCGCGCATGCTGCTCGCGAAGTGCAGACCTTGCGATGCGGCGTATCACACAGTTTGGTTCGGGAGAAGGCAGCGATGGCTGTATCAAGATGTTGTTGACAGCTCTTGCAAGACTTTGCAAGACCACGCGCCCATCCAAAAAGCATGCGGGCACAAGTACAGCGCTACAACACAGTGACACATGGCGCCGCGGCAGCTTCCAGGTCAGGAGCGCTTAACAGTAGCCTGTGTCGGGAATTGTCGGGATGTCGGGATTGGCTGAGGGTCTGTGAATACCTGTCTCATCTTCTAGATTTTGACACGCCACGAGTTCGAGACACAACGTCTGCACAAAAGTGGCGGATCGATGTCTTCGACGCGATGCCATGTGACGCCCGTCTAGGCCGCTCCAGCATCGCCACAGCGATTCGCGAGCTGACCTCTTCCCATCTCTTCTCAAGATCCCTGATTGGAGGTCATGAGTCATACGGTGCCTATTTTTTAATGTGCGGACATTTAAATGAATAAAACAAATAGTTTATACTACCTCCGTGAGGGGTTGGGTGGGGCCGCCCCTTTTATAAACACCCGGAAACCATAACCATTAAAATCACCCCCGTGGAAAAGAGGTCGTCCACGCGTCGGCCGCCTGCTGTCGGTTGAAGGTGCTGTTGTGGATTGGGGCTTGGGTTTAGGTTTTCGTAATGGCTTGGAGGCTTTCAGCCCTGGGACATTGTCCTAGCGTGTTTCTTGGGTTTCTGTGGGCTTGGGGCCTTTCAAGGGTGGGAAGAAGCCAGAAAACACCCTGGGACAATGTCCTAGGTTTCTGTGGGCTTGGGGCCTTTCAGGGGAAAGGCCCCAAGCCCCAGAAACCTAGAACATTGTCCTAGGGTTTTTCTGGCTTCCCACGGCCCTGAAAAGCCCAAAAGCCCAGAAACCCCAAAGGCCCCCCGAGAGCCCCGCGAGTATTTTTCTATCCAAACCCCTGAAAAGCACCAAAACCAAGTCCAGGCGTCGGCGAGTTGCCCAAAGTGCCAGGGCAAAGCAAGGGCACTTAGATTATACATTTAAACACACGAAAATTTAAATAGACATTTTATACTACCTCTGTGGCTCGTGGCCCGGGGCCCGCCCTCCACATGTTTAAAAACAGTCACCGTACATAGTTGTTAAAGAGGCAACTCGGCAGGGTGAACGAAACAGAACGGTCGCGACATGCCACTCTTGCTTCTTAAGAAGAGGCCGCTGCGCAACTTTGAGCAGGTGAAGACCGTACGCACAAACTTGCATTAGCCCTCAGAGAAAGAATATCATGTGAGTCTTGATGTTTCTTGTCTCCGTGCTTCTGTTGGTGCGCAGCCCCACCTCTTGCTTCTGACTTATGGTGCAAGTGTGGGATTGAGCGCGCAGCACGCCTTGACAGATCGGTCACTTTTGTCCCCCGCCGGCCCAGGCTGATGAAAGATATTCAAGCTCTTGACTACATATGGCCGTGTGCGAACCCGGGCACTCCATACGCCCCAGTTACAAACCGTTGTCGCAGCAGCTTGTTTCAAACCGTCGTCGCGCAATGACATTACATTGTGACTGATGACGGCCCTGTCGCGGGAAGGGGGGTGAGGCGGGGGGACTATCGTCTGCAACCTTCCCACCATATGCCAATCTCCCATGTGTCAACCAAACCCACTGTACGCGTTTCTTTTTCGCGCGCGCTTGCGAACAATTGAACCATTTTAGAACATTCAACTTTTTTGCTCTGGCGTATGAATGCAAAACTTTCGCAAAATGTCCAGGGTTTTTGCGGAAATTTTGAAACTGAAAGAAATCTGTAGCAATTCTAATGCATCTAATCAGAATCCCATTAAAACTAAGCATAACTCTTTCAAATTTTCGAAAACGAAAGGAACTTTTGATTTAAATTTTAAACCTATATGACTATATGAACCCCTACTAAAGATTTCACAGGACCCCTAATGTTTTTTATGGGAATCCAGTTGACATTAAAGAAGATCCGAATACAGAATTAGTAAGAACTCTAATTGAAGCTACTCGGATTCGTTTGAAATTTACTATGAACCGATTACAGAAAAACACAAGGATCCGAATAAACTTGCTCAAATTAAAAGTAGGAATCGTATAAGAAATTGATATGACTCCAACTAGGACGAATAGGAAATCGATCAAGGTCCCCATGAGCCCGATCCCTACCATTTCTGAAGGATCCTATTCAAAATAAGCAGGAATCCGAGAAAAAACCAAAAGGAATCGTATTAGAACAAAGCGACAATGGTTGGCGCACAAGCACGCAGGCGAATATGTTGATTTTTGAGTTCGTCTTTCTCGAGTGTTCGAAAATGTTTTCAACCAGAAGCGCGCAGAGCCCCTGCATTGACTTGGTCGTTGATCTAGTTGGCCTAGAGTCTCAAACACCCCCCACCCCCTGCCCCGCGGAGACGACATCCGAAACCTTCTTTAAGACTCGTTGAATTTCGAGTCCCCCGCGCACCGCACCACCACAGCCCACCACAGCCCACCACGCCCCTGCCACACCACCGCCACCAGACGACTGTAAAGGTGCATATTATTATGCATCGTGATACGACTGTTGCTCGTGGTGGTGGTGGTGATCATGATGATGATGACCATTGAGGACAACGAGGAAGAACCCAGCTTCAAAATCTGGATAAACAATACTGACCCCCCCCTCTGCACAAAGTGTACATCTGGACACAGTCACGTTGCTTCGCCCTTCCCTCTGTTCGACGAAAGCATTTTGACAGCACACCCGACACGCCCAACAAAGTGAGTTCTCACGGCTCTGATGCATGCAAGCTTGACCCCCCGAACCCCCCCGCACCCACTCCCCACACCCACTCCCCACACCACCCCGGTCCCCCCACCTCCCCCAAAAGAAGAGCACTAACAGCTGCTTCCCTTGAACCCCAGCCTTGTCCCCCTAACGCAACACGCAACTCAAGCCAAGCTCTGCTAGAAGAATGTGGGACTATGCTTTTCATGTACATTCTATACCTTGGTGTGGCTTCACCGAAACACTCTGGGGAGGGAGCTTGTTCCACTGGCCTGCATGATGGCAATGCCTGAGTCGTGCAACTGCATTGCACGCACTTCACCTTCCCCTTTTGCCAGCATGGATTGTCGCGATTGTCGCGTAAGCTGCGCGCCAGGTGGCAAGTCAGCGCCCTGCGGATGCCATGCTCGCCAAGGAAGCGATCGCACCACACTGTGACATTCATCGACCACACACGATGACATACTACTAACACCCACTGTGACACAGTTCCAGCTCCTCTGTCTCTGGATGGGCGGGCTTTCCAGCACCTTCGTTCTGAGAAAGGAAGCTCCGTCTTTGGACCACCTTGCCCGCGCCTTCGGCATCTTCATGTTCAAGAAGATCCATCTTAACCCCAAAGATCCGACCTCGGCTCTATGACAGGATTCGGATACCACTATGGGAAAGCCCAAGCTAAGCTTCCGACTGAAATGTCTAAACATCGCTGCCATACATCGTTCCATACGCTGAAACCCACCAGCACAAGTCATGGCTTGCTGCCTGTGAGAGCAACTTAGATGTGCGACATTCACTGACATTCACCATCTCTGAACAGCCCTAGATCCTCGAACCCCTGAGCCTCCCAAGTTCAGAGGCGGCAGTCATGTCCTGCGTGATGGTCTCTACACGTTCCTGCCTTAGCAAATGTTGCAGTTAAGGTCATCTCAACTTTCGTATTCGTATTGTGTTGGCACAATTGGGTGAGCCAAGCCAAACGCAGAGCTCCCAGGCTGTGCTCCAATGTTGCCAGCTTGTCCTTCGCTCGACATGAGATCCAAGATGACGAGTGCAGGGGCAGCGTTTCGGTCATCTTTCCGGGCTGTTGCCCGTTGTCAAAGAAAAGGCGATTGAAGGCAGTTGTCAGGTCAGGTGCAAAACTACAGCCTCGTATTTGGTCATGAACTCACTCTGGCTCTTCGCTCGCCTCGAAAGGACCCGTGCAATCACTGCGGCGAACATGTGCGGGCAAACGCCCCCTGAGAGAAGAGCCCTTCGTACACATCTGCCCACTTTTTGATGCCATTCCTCAAAAGCAAGCAGCTGGCTCAACAGCATAACTCTGCACCGGTGTCATGAGCTTGTACAGTTTGCCACGCAAGCTTAGCCCGCGGCATGTTGGCAGCAGTGGCTTGGAATGATTTGAAAACCATGGGAGGTATGTTCTCCCAACTGTCCTTGTCAAGCCTCCGAGGGGCAACGATATGCAACGGTTAAGATGGTTCAAAGCCTAAGAACACTCCTATCCCCTACAATGCTCAGTTCGCAACACGATCTTGGCAATGTTCAGCGTCGCCATGGCACTCGGCTCTGTAGTTCAGCTTCTATGCGTAAGCTTGGATAAGCCTGGCGAAAGTCTGTCCCCACCAACGCAACGTTGGCTGTTACTTAAGTTGCTTAGTTGGCTTACAGCCTGCCGCAGGCTGTTACACGGCTTGAGCTGTCTGCCAATGTGGATGGTACACCAACCCTCTACTGCACCAAGCCTCAGCCTAGGTTCAAGGGCGCACTATGACGCAATCGTCTTGGCAGGATGCGAAGCATAGTCATAGTCCCACCGAGCGCACAGAGCACAATCAGCACACATTTTGGAGGGATCTTGGCATATCACTCGGCCAAAACGAGGATCCCGTGCACCTGCGGATGCAGAGTGGCCATCGGTTGCCAGAATGGCAGATTGTGGCAGAATGCTCAAGTTGAAAATGGCCTTCGGTGGGCTAGGATCTCGAGATGCGGGCCCTCCAAACCCTCCTGGGTGGACACCTCTGCACTTATCTTCACCATGAAGTTGAGCCAGAGAAGGCTGATGTCTTCAATGTCTTCAAGTTGAGCCGGGATCACCTTCCTGCCCATGGCAAAGTGGGCTCAGTCGCAACCAACCTTGGCTGATCATCCGTGCCGTTCCGCATCCCGCGATATCGCGACCAGTCGATGCAGACTATAGACTCAAGTACAAGCGATACTGCGAGTGCCTGCTCCTCAATTTCTTGTATGCGCCGCTGCAAACCTGTCATCGCCACTCGACAGAGAATTGTCCCGCCGTTGGAATGTCCGGAGCCCTGACAAATGTGAGATCGTGTTGAGGCGGTGGCCCAAGATCTGCTGCTGAAGTGAAGTCTTCTCTCCCTTCAAGGTCGTGATCTTAGTGGTTGCTCTTTGCCCTTCGACAAGACAAGTGAAACACAGAATTTCAACAGAAGCTTAGCACGTGTCTTGTTGTTGCAGGCGTCCATTTTCTGCCTTCGCATGCAACAGCTGACGACGTTACACGAGCAACCATCAACCAACACTCATGCCAGTATCAATCTACGCCTTCTGCTGAGCAAAGTGTCTCTTCACCTCAGTACTCAATGCACGAGCATGCAAAGTGCAATGAAGCGTACGAGCAAGGTGTGCCTCGTCTTGCAATCGTTGAACATCACCCACCATGGTTTTCTTCAGCTCCTCTGCTCACATCAATCACGAAACTCTCGAGATCTGAGAGTGGCATCCTACCCAGTCCGCCGAGTCGCCAGGCACGCAGACGTTTTGGGTCAAAGAGCAATCCACCTCCCTATCCTCCTTTCTCCCCCTCCCTGGCCCGCCGAAGTTGTCCTCCTCTGTGCCCGCTATGGACCTAGAACGCCAAATGGACCTCCTATGCGTTCGTTGTGGACCCTTCAAAGTCTACGGCCTTCCCTAACCCTCTGGATCCTACTGAACCTCTGAGGACTCACCTGCCGGTGCCTGAAACATCCAGCTGGTGTGTGGGCCGCGGCCCAGGCGGGGGCACCGGGGCGCATTGGCATTAATACTATGTTTCAACCACATGTTACACATTATGAGTATTTATGCGTCCCTGATACCATTTTGCTTTACTACACCGCACGATTTCTTTGAACAGAATCTCTGCTGCTCCTGCAGCTGAGCCTGGTAGTGCTCTTCTATGCCCGTCTGCGCAGCCAATATTCGCAAAAGACAGCCACATGAAATTCTGAGTCATCACTGTACTGAGTCTAAGCTCATAGTTCTTGTGCACTGCATCACTGTGCGCACCTTGTCATTTCGAAGGCTTTCAATCTCCTGCCTTTGCGCGGCCAGTTCCTGCAGCACGCAGGGCTCTGAGCCGCAGAGCTCTCGCAGAGCTGTCTCATACTGCCTCGTTCTGCATCGAGATGAAGTCCTCGAGGGAGGCCAGCTTGCCTTTCAACCTTTTGCCAGAGGCATCGGCCGCAAGCAATCAACGCAATCAAAATCACAAGTCAAGCTGACCCTGTGGGCATCATGGCCGCATCCTCGGATTCCACGGGTCGTTTCCAGTCTCACAGTCTCACAGTCTCACTCCCCACTCAGACTTGCAGTTGACTTGGTTTAAGTTTCCGGCCTGTGTGCTGGCCATGGCAAGGAGGCTCAGAACGAGACTATACTCTATTTGAGGTGCACTTGATATGCAGCTGTAGGCCAGCTCGAGCCACGACTTTCATGGGCTGCGAAATGCTGTTCATCTGCATCTCTCCACTACTTGCCCGTACCCACCACTGCCCACCACCGCGTCCCCAACCACTTTTCACAATCTCACCGATCTTGTATCCGCCGCGGTGTGAAGCTCGGCGGCACGCTCCTTCATAGGCAGAACAGTCGGCAAGCTGAGGAGCAGTCTCTCACATTCTCCCAAGTCATCACAGCTGAGAAACCAGCCAGCCGAATCCGTAAACAATTCTTGGCTGAGGACCAGGGATGGTGCCCTGCCATTTGTCCGAGTTGCGAAAGCGTCAACACCGTGGCAGAGACAGCTACAAGCACGACTGCCGTGAACTGCGCAGGAAAGATAAGACAGCCAGCAGCACCGTCGCGTGCAACTCTTTGGAGGCAAAGAACATCCAAGCATCCCTCTCATTGACTGGAACTGGCCTTGGGGCAGATATGCGATATCCATAGAAGCACAATCCTGATGGGCCACTGACATGCCAAGTAAGAAGATCGCTTGCCAGCTATGATAGGACGTCCAGACCTCGCCAGACCACTCAACAATGGTTACGAACCGCATAGGCAATTGCTCGTAACACCAGTGCTGGACAATCGATTGTCAATGTCAAGTGAAGTGTGCGGGGTTCGCCAATGGTCGTGCGCTTCTTCGCTGGGGTATGTGGAAGTCAGCTGGACTGTGGAAACTTGTGTCCCACTGCGCCCACATAATGTCTTCTTTCATGGTTTTAATCCTCGGTTTTGGCAGTCGTGCATTGCGTCCTGTTGAAAGCGTTCTCTCTGGACCCTAGGCTGTTGGAGTCTTGCTCTGCCAGCGACAGTCAACGACAATCGGTACGACTCAGTATAACTCAGCATCATCTTTCTGCTTATTCCTTCCTTTGTCCTGGAGCAAAACGTGCTACATATTCCCTTGTGACTTGTGGTAGAGAACACCAGAATGGACACTCCGATTTAGCACCTTGGCTAGTCTTCACTTTGTACTAGTGTAGTGTAGTGTGTCCAGTACGCACTCACTGCTGGAAATGTCATTTGGTGTCTGCTTACCCGCTACATCCCGCTGCAGCTTTACGAGTCGATACGAGTCGCCCGAATACCAGAGCAGCTGCAACGCAAATAGAATCTGAGACCCAACGGCTCCATCTGCACGACAATGTTTGCCCGCAAATGCGCCGCATCATCTCAGTGTGGCATCGGCTTTTTGGGTTTGAGAAGTACCATTACCAAACGCTCAGGTTGCCTGTGCGAGCTTGGTACCGGTCACGGTGCTCGTGAATGAAACCTGGTCAAGAGATGCAAGAGATAACACACGAGACACAAGGGTTCCGCATGTCAACCTCCAGGCTCAATGTAGGAGCACACCCGTCCCAATGTTGGATCCAGACACCTTGGCTGTCCCATCTAGATCTTGGACCATCTCAGAAATAAGTGAAAAGCTGTGGATCTGGCCTTCCCTTCAAGCCTGCTACGGCATCTTCCAAACGCTTCGTCAGTTCCTGCCACGATTGGTCTGGCACAAACCTGCGAAGAGGCCAACAACAAGAATGTTGTCTTGCGTGCGTCACCTCCACGAGACAGTCCACCCCGCCAGATGCATCCAGCTTTCGGAAGAAGCGGTGCGGTCCTGCAAGACGACTGCAGTTGAATTAAACTGATATCCGAATAAGTACTGAGACTGAAGCTTACATGACTACATGCCATCCACTACAACTGCCATCAACTGCCGCATATCGCCACACGCTGCCACAGTGAATTCTGGTGCATTGGTGACTCGCGCCTGCTGGATTTGGAAGCAGGAGGCCCTGCCTCAGAGTTTTGTGCAGCCATTTCTCAAAGCCCCGTGCTCAACGTCTGAGTATCGTGTAAGGAAGCCGCCGTTTCTGCCTTACGGCTGATTCCAGCAGGTTGAGGCGTTCTTCCTGGCAATGTCCATGAATGCAGTGTGCCTCCATGTGTTCGATGCGTTGACAGAGACGCCCCTTTCAGAGGAGCACTTCACAAGTATTTAATGTATAGTAAATGTATATAATACAGTGGCCCGGTAAAGACTACAACTGTACATTATATATTTTTTTTGGCGTCCGAGCCCTCCTCCAATCAGATTCATCTCGAGGGACCCATCGACACTAGGGGCGCTTCCACGTGGTCAGTTGATGGCCAGCCCATTCACGTGGTCTCCTTGCAAGATGATGTATGCACTGTTGAGGACAATTTTCAATTTTGGCGTGCCGACGAGATCGAGCAGCATCAAACCCTTAGCTCGGTCGAGCATGTCCACTCCGAATTTGTTGCACTCTGGCGACCTCGTTGGCGGCAGCACACAGACATGCCGACGGCGCAATGGGATCGCCTAGTTGCTTTTGCGCAAGCTTACATGCCACGTTTGCAGCTTTCGTTTCCTCCCATAACGATTCAGCAATGGCGGCAGGCGCTCCGCCGATTCAAGCCGCGGGCGGCCCGAGGCCCAGACGGCTGGCCCAAGGCCGATCTGATGAACATGCCGGACTCATGGCTGCAGTCTCTGCTCTCTTTGTTGTCTGCCATCGAACAGGAGCAAGAGCAATGGCCGCAGCAACTTTTGCAAGGATTCGTCTGCAGCCTGCTGAAGCCTGCTGCAACAGGGGACGCCAACGGCTTTCGGCCGATCTGCCTCTTGAGCATGATTTACCGCACATGGAGCGGGATTAGGGCTCGCCAGGCCATATCCCAACTTACTCAGTCAGTTCCGGAAGGCTGTTTCGGGTTTGTGCGCGGTCGCAGCGCCGACATGCTTTGGTGGTCCCTTCAGGCCCAGGTTGAGCTCAGTTCTCAGGGACATCACGACCTTTATGGGATGGTAGGGGACGTTGTAAAGGCATTCAACTGTTTGCCGCGTCGGCCTGTGATGGCAGCTGCTGCTGTCTTAGGACTGCCTGAGACCGTGCTCGGCCCATGGGCAGGCTTCCTGGAGGGCGTTGAACGACGCTTCCTAGTTCGTAGCTGTGTGAGCCAGCCGGTCCACTCCAATTCGGGGTTCTGTGAAGGCTACCCTTTGTCGCCGGTGGCTATGCTGATCACTGACATGATCTACCATTTCTATCTGCAGGCGTATGCCCCGTCGGTCCAGTCACTCACGTATGTCGACAACTTGGCGGTTGTTAGTCAAGGCTGTGGCGGGCTGGCCAAAGGCATCAACACTAGCCGATGCGTCCTTGATCTGCTTGGCCTGCAACTAGATGAAGCAAAGGACATATCTGTGGGGTTCCCAGCCAGGCTCAACAGCCAACCTCCGCGCATTCCAAATGCCTCTCTGCTCGCACGCCAGGGAACTGGGAGGGTTCTTGTCTTTCGGGCGCAGCACCCGAAACCACGCCCTTGTTGAACGCGCGCAGGCATTGGCCTTGAAAAGACTGAGGGCGCCGCTGGTTTACAAGCAGGCCATCTTGCCAGGGAAGTTCTAGGCCTCCGCCCTCCATGGTGCAGTTTGCTGCCCCCTACCGCCGTCGCTCTTGCCTTCCCTCCGGACAGCCGCTGTCCAAGCGTTAGGCGTGAAGACAGCTGGAGCCAGTGCCAGCCTCACATGGAGGCTGACCCTGGCTTTTGGCTGCTCTGGTCGCTGCTGCGTGACCTACGTCGCCAGCGCGCGGCTCTGCCATCTTTGCTCACTTTCTGGCGCCAGTTTATGCGGGATTTCGATGGGATGTTGTTTCAGGGTCCTTTCTCTCAGGTCCTTCGGTTCTTTTCGGATTTGGGTTGGAGTGTGCTGACACCACCTCTTTTTGTAGACCATGAAGGCCTTTGTCATGATCTATTAGCTATGCCTCGGGCCCTATTGCGGGACCTTGCGGAGCGAGCATGGTTGGCTTACGTGGCCAGGCAGCACACTCACCGGCACACCATGCAGGATCTTGTGGGCTTAGAGGCGTCATTGGTCGCCCTGGACGCCAGGCATCTGACACAGCTAGACTTGCTGCCATTCAGTCAGGTGCTTTTCTTTTCGACTCAGCCCATTCGAAGTTTGACGCCAGCAAGGATGGGCTCTGCAAGGAGTGCCGTGTTCCTGACACGGTTGAACATAGAATGGTACATTGTCCATTGTTTGCTCAGGCACGAGGCTCCGATGCGTGGGTTCTAGAGAAGCGGGCGAGCCTGCCCCTTTCGCTTTCACATCACCTTTTGCCCTCTGCGAGCCCAGGCACGCAGACACTTCGAACATTCTTAGCTGCGCTACCTGACGCAACCGATCAGTTCCACAGCCGGAAAGTGGCGAGCGGGCGTCAACACGTTTTCACAGATGGCGCATGCACCCTCTCGGAGTCCAAAGGTCTGGCGTTGGCAGGACGGGGCGTGATCAGCGCCAGCACCGGCGAGGTCTTGTCTTGCGGCCCGCTGCACGGCCTTCTTCAGACGGCGCCACGTGCCGAGCTTTGCGCGATGATTTCGGCTGGGCTCTCAGGCTCAAGGTAGAAATCTGCGCGTGGTCAGACTGTGAGCATGTGGTCCTGGGAGTTCAGCGCCTTCGGGATAGCCCGCGGGAACCTCTGCCGCTAGACAACCATGACCTTTGGTACATCCTTCAACAGTTGCTGCAACAGTTGGAACCAGACGCACTGTGGGTGGTACACATCCCCTCACATCTGGATTTTGCCTTGTGTGAAACACCATTTGAAGATTGGGCGGCGCTGCATAACCGTCATGCAGACACAATCGCTGGCCCAGCGTTGCAGAACCGGTCACAGGCTTTACAGCAGACGCACACCGCTCTGATTCAGGATCAATTTGACCAGAAAGCCACAATCCGAGCCTTGCGAAGAATCTACTTTCGCATTGCCGAGCAAACCACGCCACGTGGAGGAAAAACAGCCTCACTAACAACCTGCGAGGATGGAACGGAGACACAAGTACCTCTGCCGTTTGGGCAGCCTAGAGTGGAGGCTTGTTCAGACTTGTTTCCGCTGGATTGGCGGCAGCGCTGTGAGGGCATTAAGGTGGGCTTGCCGCCAGCTTTCACGCAACAAGCAGTCGAGTTCTTCATCGTGCAGGACGGTTCTTCACAGGAGGCGTTTGAGATTAGCTGGATTGAGCTGGCTTTCATGGCGCACGCAGCCTCAGCAGTGGAGTATCCGGCTTTCCATCCGATTGCTGGAACGTGGGTGAATGCTAGTGATATGGTTTTCCGTCCTCCCCTGTCAGCCGCTGTACAGGTCGGGCTTCTCAGGAGGGCTTTGCAGGCTGATTTTAAGGCCTGCGACGTACAGGTTTCTTTGCTGAAAGGTTGCTGTGTAGCGGAATGTGGGTTGCTTATGAGATCGCCAGGGATCCTTATGGGCGTTGATGTTTCGATTCTGCAAGCTGCTAGGTCGCATCTTTCAGGTTTCGCCAGCACGCGGCCAATACGGACGAGTGCGGATTTGAACCGCCGAATGGCGGTATGACCTTAGGACGCCAGGACTCGGCCCGCCTTGCACTGCTTGCGCTGTGCACGGGCTCTCAGAGAGTGTGATATATATATATATACATACATACATATATACATATATAGACATATACCAAAAACACATATGTATAGACAAACAAGATAGGACCCCCTTGCCCGTTGGACATCTGACCCCCTCCGCATCGTGCGGGTAGCCAACCGCTACATCTGTGCTGGGACAGACAATAATTGCGTGCGAAGCACGCATTTCTAGTATATATAGTACTTCTGTATAGTATTTTTACAAAGTATATATAGTGTAATTTATAGTACAATTTTATACATATAAAATTGTACATATGTGTACATATATGTAGTATAAATATAAAGTATATGTTGTAGTATATATCATAGTATCTATTTGAGTATATTTTTGTACATATTTCTAGTACAGATTCAAGAATATTTTTGGTATTGTAGCATATATATATATATGCAGAGAGAGAGAGAGACAGTGTGTATATATACATATATATATATACTACCACTGATACTGCAAAATACACACGTACTCTATATTATATATATATATGTATTATAGAAATGTACCTACTACATACACAATATGTACAATGTGATTTGCATGCCATGTGTACTATCATTTGTGCGTGGCATGAGTGTGTAGATTTTTAGGCTTGACATATTGGCAAAGCCAGACGAGACCAAAAGATCAGGAGAGTAGGACCGCAAGACCAAAGGTCCAGGACACCAGACCAGAGCCAACATCTGCCTGTTACAACATGGCCGCTTGCCTCACTGATGATTTCCCGCAGTAGAAGCCATGGCCCTGATGCTTCCTCTTGCCTAAAAGCAAGCGAGTTTGCAAGGCTTCCCCCTTCAACGTCGCATGCTAAAAACTGCTGCGCCTTGGCAATGTGCGAGGTACAATAGACCTGTGTGGCTCAGGGCTGGCTCACAGGCTTGAGTCACCGATGCATTGCGATACTGCGATGCGCTGCCTGCAATGATGCCACCTGGGCCGACCTGGCCGGCCGGGCCAGGAAAATCTCCGGTGGCTCAGGGCTGCGGCACGCGGGCAGCGAAGGACAGAACATCTGCGGGCTCGCGATCCTTCTGCACATGTCTTCACTCAATTTTCATTGCTACACCGCTAGACCGAGCACGCTTATGCGGAGGACTTGCAGAAGCCGTCCTTCTTCCGGCGAGCAAACCAAGGACATGCTCAGCGGCTCGTCGAATGCACGCTGTTTACTGTAGTTACATATTACTATGTCTGTCGAGTTCACAGGTTTTCCACCATGATCCGGCCCATCCGGCATGATCCGGCAGCAGTGTTACTTGGATTTTCAGTGTGTGTGTGTGTGTGCAGCTTGCACGATCTCGAGCAGCACGCATACGAGTCAAAGCTGCGCTGCAGAGATTGGCGCATTGTTCGTGGGGAGGCACTGGAAGCAGCTCACATTTTCACGCACCGCAGACCGCGCAGAGCATGTAGGCAGCTGAACCAGGCAGCAGCTAACAGCTATCGAGCACGATCTCCATGTCACTGATCACTGAAGCAGGTGAAGCTTGTCCTCGTCGCCGCGTAGATGGTGTGTGGCTGTAGTACTGTAGTCGCCAGCTTCGCATCAGGACTTTGCAGCTTGGCTTTGCATCTTCATCTTTTGCATGTGAACGTTGAGAGCTGTTCGGGCGACCTGCCAAGCTCAGGCGATCCGCCTTTGGGGGGGGGGGGGGGTGCCGTAATGAGAGTCTGCTACAAGCACTCGCAGGAAAAAGTCGTCATGTCACGTGGTCGGCACGGTGTGAGCACTCATCTGCCGAAGCCGGAAACCCTGGTCTGGATCTAGGGGCCAGGGGCCAATGAACCTGATAAGCTGGAGTAAAACAAGCTTGCATCACTGTCCGCACTTGCTCACCCCACTTTCAAGTCCCATTCCACTCCCCGCTTCTGTTCATCGCCGGTCGCACAGGGATTCGATTCGGGCTCAGGCCAGCAATCGCTTTCTGCATGTTCCTCCACTTCTCCGCAGGAAGGCAAAAGGCCTTCTGCACCCCGACGCCCTCGCCGCCCCAACCCCTAAAACCAACCCACAGCCACACCACAGCGGTGGGGGAGTGCCTGGACCAGAGGGGGGGTGGTGGGGGAGGGACGGTTGTGGAGCACGTGATGATAGGGTCACGCGCTCCGCGGTCCCCACTCCACCCCACACGATGGTCTAGGTGCCCTCCTCAAGGTTTAGGGTTTTAGGTTTTGGGGCGTAGCGTTTGGCCCCCCCACCGGTGGTGTGGGTCTGGGTTGGGAGCTCTTTCTTGAGTATTTTCAGTTGTCTGCTTCGGTCTTGAGGCATCTTGAAGTGTCTTGAGCTCAAGATGCCAAGTCCAAGATTGAAAATCCAAGATTCCAGCCGAAAGTCTTGCCGGATTCTTCAATCTTCAATCCTCCATTTGACGTCTTGAAGTCAAGACGCCTCAAGAGATTCCAAGACAAGCGTAGACAACACGCAGATGGTTGAAAAAAGTGTGGGTCTTTGGGTGGGGGGGGGACAATAAAAATGTCTATATGGTATATATATATATATATATACATATGTGTGTGTCTTTGCTTTCGAGGGACTGAGCCGCCAAGACCTCTTGTCCAGGTGGGCTCAACGACTTCCAAAGCCTTTCATGAAGCATGGCGGGCAGCTTGTACCCGCCATGAACCTCAACCCTGACTGGACCCTGACTGCTCCGACACTGAGGCGGCCCCCGCGTTCGCGGTTCAATTTTTTTTATCTTGGTAGGCCAAGGCAGGCAGACCTCAACAGCTTGTGCATCCAGGGCAGGCAATGCGTTGACGAACAAGCGTGCTGCACCACCTTGCAGGGAGCTTCAAATCTCATGCACACTGCGACATGAAATCTGAAATGTAATGTAACTAATTGCACAGATCGAACCGCTTCTTTGTTTCTCCTTGGACCTCGTTCCAAGCCACCCTGCTTCAAGCTTCTCCGCAGCGTTGCGTTACGCGCTTCAGCCTGGATCTCAGCTCGAGATCAATCACAGATAGGTCATACCAGATAGGTCTTACTGAAGCATATCATGACCAGCCTCCTTTGCGGCTGCTTCGCATCGAGCCTGCACATCATGAACCCTTCGTCGATTCTGCAACATCTGCAACAGTTTACTCCTGATTTCCACTTCTTCATAGGCCGCAGCTCTAACTCACAGGCTCGAAAAGTGCTCCTTCGTTTTTTCCTCTTTTTTAACCGAGTGCGCAAAACCTGAATCTGGTCTCCCCACGACGACTGACTACAGCGGCACTGCATGCGGTGCACAGATCTGCCATCGAAGCCTTGGAATCTTTGGAGCGCTCCGAACCCTCGGAACCCGGTCCGAGCCCTCCCCGACAGTGTGCTTTCGCAAGTGCTGCTCAACTGCTCAACCTCCACCCATCTGAACATCTGGACTCACAGCTGCGAGCACCGTGCACCACAAAACTGATCAGGGAGCGCAGCGAAAAAAGATGTAAGTGTAAAAAAGATGCAAGTGTAGCTGTTGTACATTGTAGGTGGTTACATCCGGTGTCGGCTGTCCTGTGCTTATCGGTGCAGGTCACACGTTCCGTAGGCAGCTATGATAGATTTCGCCAGCCCTTCGTGCACCAAAGCCAGGACAGAAGTAACGAAGCTTGCCGCCTGCTCTTTTGCCAGCTCTGCAAGTTCTCGCTCCGCTTTGGACAGTGCGACAACCTGCGGGCACGTTCTTCCGACAGATCTGATACCGTAGCCTCGATGCGCGAAAGCAGAAGCAGAAACTACCGACCTCGCTGCGCACATCCTTTGGCGGGTCTGCAGCCTAAGCAGTGCAGCGCAAGTGCGAACAGTGCAAAGTATGGAGAGCGGCAGCGGATTACCGGCGGACTCCTTAGTTGTGGACATTGATTGCAACACATTTATTGCAAAGGAGATTTGCTAAGAAAGATTAAGAAAGGTGCCTTTCCTGCACTCGCACTCGCGCTCATCACCTCAGTGGCCTCGCAAACAACTCATGAGAGCGTGATGCCGAATCAGCTGCAAGGATTGCTCATTGAGTGTTCATGTTGCACCTCTTCTCGCTGTCTTCTCTGCTCCAAGACCTCTGCCTGCAGATGCGCAGACGGACGTCAGAGCATCGATCCTCGAAGTTGTTCATGTCTGCCTCCAGCTTCACTACCTCTTTCTTCCAGAACTCAACCTTCAACACCGGTTTCACACGGGCGCACAGAGTCGCTTATTCTGCACCAGCCTGTCTAGACAGTGTTCGCAACAGAGAAAGCAAAGCGGGATGCCAACAAAAACATATGTGCCTCCTCTTGCCAACCTTCTCGTATCTCCCCAACTTCAAGCTCTGATCGGGCCATCCTGACATTTGCTTGACCGAACAGCACTACTTCTGACTGTGTCATCGACATCGCCTGAGATCCCGGGAGAGCTTGATGTTCTCCTCGAACACCTGGTCTGACGCTAACTATCGCTAACTCCCACACGCACCACAAGCACCACACGCACCACACGCACCACACGCACCACAGGCACCACAGGCACCACACCTACCGATCCACCGAATGTTCTTGCATGTTCTCGCCGACTCGGGCATTTCAGGGTGAGTTTGACACGCATCTGAAATGGCCTGCCAACGACTTCGATCATTTCTGCCAGTGTTGGCTTGAAGCAGCTGGCGGTCAACCTTCCACACATGGAGTCAGAGTGGCATGCAGTCAGTTCCAGACTTTCCAGGAGCCAAACTCTGCACTCTTCAACGACATGCCGGTGCATCTAGCGATATCTAGTACCATCATACGTCATCTATCGTCATCATCTACAGTGGCTGCTCCATTATGTGGCCTGAGCTCGCAGTTCCGCAAGCGATGGAAATGGCGGGCGGGCGCATGTGTCGCCATGCCTCACGTGCAACGAGAGCGATGGGGTGATGGGGCATTGAGCATGGTGGCCGCACAGCAGAGTGCCAGGCAAGGACGCCGTCTCTGAGACTGTGTCCTCCTCTGTCGTACACACGACAGGACATTGCAAGGACGGGTTGCGAAACGGTTCCAAAATTGAGCAGCTTTGAGTCCTTCTTCGGGCTTTCCAACTCGTACTCTGACTCACCGCTCTGAATCTCGAGAGCTTCAACACTTCTTTGGCATTCACCTCGACTTGGATCAGCTGCGCCGTCTCGGTTACTGCTTGCTTTGGAAGCAAGCTTTGGCACCCAACCTCAGATGCAATGCTGGCCAACACCACAGTGCCCGAAGGTGCCCCAGTTGCAGGTAGAGGCGCTCGTGTGCATGGCAGGGTCCTCATAACACCAAAACGCCGAAAACATGTCGCGGCCACTCACGGTCGGAAGCATGTTCTTGAAGCACTGAGACAGTCCTTGCTTCCAACCCCTTCAGAAACATTTGTTTCTGCTGGGCGACTTGACCTGTGCAGTGCACAAGTTAATTACGCGCTCTGAAGCATCCCGGGACCTTAAGTGTTCTCAAGCGTCCCTCGACTGCAACCTCAGCTGAGGCAGAGACATTACCCGCTCTACATCATGTCAGATTGACTCGACCCGGCAGCTGCAGAAATAGTTATGCACAATCATGCACGTGCTGCTTTCACATGCCAAAAGAGGATGGAAGCAAAGGATCACTGTGGCTTGACATAACTGGCTTGTTTCTCTCTGCGCAGCCCTTGGACAAGCCCAAGCTTGGGATGATCCCGTTGATCCCCATCCTCATCGGTACGACTTCTGGAAACGAGCACGTGCAGAGCGTCCTGCCAGTGTTCAGCCATGCTCTCCCCAACAAAGCGGCTAAAGTTTCTAAAGCAGACTGCAGTTGCTCTATGGCACTGTTTCGCAACAGGCCTCCAAACTTCTTCGGCTCACAACGGCGCGGATCTGCGACTATCAAGGAACGATCGTAGGCCATCAGAATGTCCTCATCCAGAATCCAACAAGCATGCTGGCGCTAAGATCACTGTGCGCGACAGAGTTGTTCAACTGGATTTCGTCGTCCTTGATTTCCTTCTTCGATGCCTCATCGATGTACTTCTGATAGTAGGCAACAATGCCCTTCGCTACGGCCTGGAGGATCGATCCAGATTGGAACAAAAACGACTGCATGCTTGATACTTGACAGCCTGACGAAGAGCGTAGATTTGACCAGTGAAGCCACCGCCCTTGACTCGCAAGCGGATGTCAACCTTGAACTTGAGGCACTTTGACCAGCTCTCTCTAACTTGTGTTTGACAGTCCCAAGCCTTGCTGCAGCGGTCCTTCCCTAAGAGTAGAAGAGGCTCGTATACCTGCCGAGTCGCACATGAGACATACGCCACAGGTCCCATGCTCGGCAAGAGCTTAGAGTCTTGGAGGCTTTGAACAAAGGCCTTGACTCGTAGAATGTCAGGCTTCACCGTGTGCAGAGGGCAACCGTTCAGCCGAACCTGACAACGGCTTTGGGAAACTTGAAGAAATAAAACCATCTACAACAATCTACTCAACAATCTACTCAACAATCTACAACAGCTACGACTCGTAAAAATGACATCGAACTCCGATGGCCTGGCCACTGCCTGTGCGAACGAGTGCCACAGCCACGGCCGTCTTCTTCCGGCCGAAGCACTGGAGAGAACAAAGCGAGCGTACATCCATTATCATCCTTTATCATCCTTTTATCTCTACTTGTTTTGTCAATATTGGTCAGAAGCCCCCTATCCCGAATACTTGATGAGAAAAACAAGCAAAGACTCGCCTTACGTATCCTGCCCCTTCTCACTAAAGTCTTCGTAGACAGTCAGACAGTCACGCGCCTTTCTGAAATCGCGACACAAAGAATTCAGATTCAGTTTAGATGACCCGCGCACACACACATACATCTAGCAGACGTGTGAAGAGACAGAAATGACTCTACTTGCACAACTGACCCACACGTTCACACAACATGCCATGGCCCAGGCCGAAAACTTGCACGGAGCTTGCGCGTGCGCAGTGGAGCTCAAAATGCTTCTCGCGGAGGCTCATCACAGACAAACTGAGACAACTGCTGATTCAATTCCATCCCTTGCACCATTCCTGCGCAGAGCTTGCGCAAGCCTGGTTATCGGCAAGCTGTCGTTACCCTTCGTCTTCACTGACATACATGTTATAAGTCGTCGACAAGGGTTTTCAAACAACCTCACAGGATGTACTGATATTTAGTGCAACCCGCAACCAGTGCAAGTGCCTGGACCTTCTCCTGCTTTCCAGTCGGAGCTTGAGCGGCCTTGCTCAGGCTAAGACTTCGCACAAGCACAAGCCGACGAAAGTCAACAAGATGGCGATCTGCAGAGTAGTGAAGAGCAGTGCCTCCTCCATTGCTCGTGGGCCGGGCAGAGAATCACGCGAGCCGCTGTGGCAGCGGTCAAAACCAAGCATACGACAAACGGCACAGCATGGCACAGTGATTGAAGTGAAGTCACACCATACAACGGAACACGTTTACACACCATTTGTCACATTGCTGCGACTGGTTCATCCTGCTTTGGGATCTTCAATCACAAGAGATCCGCTGGAGGTCGTGCAGCGCTCTCAGCGGTTGTACCGGCCATTGCCAGCTTCTTTGCCAGCATCTAAGATGCTTCCTCCAATCACGTGGCCTGGCGCTAAACCTGCTGAGGGTGCCAGGAGTTGACGGGCTTAGGAAGAGTGTTGAGTTGCAGCAGTTTCTTCCATCTGCTGTTTTTCCTATCACGGCCTCCAGTGACGCCAGGGGCAGTTGCAGTGCAGTTGCTGCCTCAAAGACGCGACATCTCACAGAAGCCTACCCTTCTACACCGTGATATATTCTGTCCATGAGCGTGCGCCTCTTGCCAAAACACCCTGTCCACCAGTTGGCCTCTCTTCGCCTGCTGACAGCGACAGTAATTCAAAATGTTGCAGAAAAAACTGCGCATTTAGCATGCTGCTGGTGTCTACTTCCTGATCAACGTCGCCGTCAATAAAATCTGAGTTTCGAAGCACGACCCTTTCACATGGCCTCCCACACGCAGAGCTGCGCTCTGGGGAAGACCAGCATGCAAAGAATCGCACCGACAAAGCAGCCGTCCACCCCAGCCTGAGGTCGCAGCTCGACAACGCCACTACGCTGCACTTCTTTGATACAAGTTGCATGTGCATCACTCTACCAGGGTGTACCGAACAGTTATCTGATGGGGCCTAGCGCAATGCGAAAGCTGGCTCAAGTCTTTATCTTCGAAAAATGCTTGCAAGATGGTTTTGCGCACGCGATTCTGAGAGCCTCCCAGCAACTTAGCTTCTTGAAGCTCCTTCGATGCATTTTGGCATATTTTAGACCTTCCTCTCTCGAGATGCGGAGGCTTCTTGGCTGGCTCTCCCCCTTTTTTTACTGCCATGATCTTCCTTATGAGGAAAAAGCGCTGGGGTGTGGGGGAGGGCGGTGGGCGCAGTCCCCCAACCGCCCCCCCCCCCCCCCCGCGCTTTTGCAAACACATGACAAGTACGACGGTTCGACAGGATTGGTATGTCTAAAGGTCTTGCGTATATAAGGCAAGCTTGCAGTTTGCACGGCTGAAATAATGAGGTTTTGAGGGAGTTTTTGGGGGAGAGGTTTCTTTTTTGTTTGTTTCTTTTTGTTTTTTTTTTTTTTTTTGGGGGGGGGGTTGGTTGGGAAGGTATTCAAAAATAAATGCGGCGGTAAGGCAGCCCGCCACACTTCCAAACACATGACATGCATGACGAGTTTGGAAGGGATTCGTGTCTTCAACATCCTTGGGCGGGAGGCAGCCCACCCACATTTGCAAATACTTGACTGGCATGAACGGGACTTGTATGAAAATTTATGACGGTTTTGAAAGGATTCAATGTTTTTCATGGGGGGGGGAGGGGCGGGGGGGGGGGCGCAAACACATGACAGACATGACAGATTTGGAAAGGATTTGTTTGTTTAAAAAACTTCCGTACAGCATAAGCTTTCAGTTTGCACGGCTTAACAAAAAGCGAAAAGGGGGGAGCGGCACCAAGCAAAAACACACCGAGCGCATATTATGACGGGTGGCCCCCTCGCCCCCCCCCCCACCCCCCTCCAATTTGCAAACACGTTGTGCGCGTATGCTTGGGAAAGGAAGTGAAAACACAAGGTCCTGATAAGGAGCTTGCAGCGTGCACGGCTAAAGAACAACAAACTGGAGGCTACGGGCGGCGGACTGAGGGACCAGGAACCCGAGGACTAGTAGACCACGATGGGACCGGAGGCCCTCAGGAACAGGGGCTTGCCAGACCGAAGAAGATGGACAAGCGATCCAGACCTGAGAAAAAAAATTATCACAAATAAACGGACCCTCTCGAATTGACCGGCAAAGGCTTTTACCAAGTCCAGGATGCCTAGCGGAGTCACAAACTGCAAACTCAAAGCCATGAAGCCATTCGATAAGTATTGGAGTGACTGTGGCGCTGATCGCCGTTTGTGTTTCTTCGCTTCTTAGCTTGGTGACGCTAGGTGCATGTTCCGAGTGGTCTTGCACCGACCCGATCTGGGGTGCTGCCCGGGGAAGGCTGTCCTGCCTGTCATAGAATGACAGGTCTGATGTTGTATCCTGATTAGTGTGGTCCCCCGGAATTGTGAAAAAACCCGAAATTATTCAGCGGGGTCTATTTGAGGATGTGCCCCGGAATTGTGACAAAAATGGGGCGATACAAATTTCGGCGAGGCTGTTGAATAGAGCTGTTGCCTGGAACTCGCTTCTGAACTGAGCCTGAGAGACCAAAGATCTGAGCCTGAGCAAAGGCTTAAAGCCCGACACCTTGAGGCCTGAGGTTGTCGGGCCCTGAAATCTTAAGTCTCCAGACCAGCCCCAAAGCAAAGATGTCCTTATAAAATGCCCTTGTACCGAGGCCAGGCAATCAAATCTCAAAGGGGATAGTCCAGCAGCTGCCCGAATGCCGTACAACATAAAACGTTTGGTCCCCCGGAATTGTGTTCTTTTGTGCGGGCTGGCTTGGTTGGGATAGATGGATCCCCATAAAATTCATATAAACCCATCCCTTTCAAAATCATGTGGATCCCTTTTAAATCATATGAACCCGTTTGAAAATCATATAATTCATCCCTTTTAAAACCACATGGATCCCTGCAAATTTCATACAAGCTCATCCCTGTTAAAACCATATATGGATCCATATAAGCTCATCGCTTTCGAAATCACATGGACCCTGTTTAAATTCATATAAGCTCGTCGCTTTGATAATCATATGGATCCCATTTAAACTCATATAAGCTCATCCCGTTTCAGATCAGAGGAACCAATGTGAACTCATCCCTGCTAAAATCATATAAAGCCAGACCCCCCCCCCATTGCCCCCCCCCCCCCCGTCCCACATTAAAGACGGGGATGCATTTGTTGGGGCGGGGGGGGGGGGGGGGGGGCACACTAATCAGCAGACCACATTCTCAGGAATTCTGAGAACATCCCAATTCCTCCCTAAGGCATAGGGGCACAAGGACTCGTTGAACAGGTTTCAGACATGGTTGCCGTTTACAGTCCAGAAAGTGCTCCCATAAGCACGTGCATACAGATGTCCAGGACAATCCGTAAAAAGAGTTCGACCCACACATTGGACAGCGCCCAGGGTGGCCGAAACACATTCAATACAATTCAGTACATGCTGGCGAAACACTAATCTGAAACCCCACTGGCCTCACCAATTCTCGCTTGCCAAGCTTTGGCAACCACCGAGGAGAGGCACAATGCCAGCAGAACCAAAAGCAAGACCTGACATCACAACACAAATACACGCCCGTCCATGCCCAGCATCTCTGATCCCGCGTCACCTGCCCCCAGCCTGGCCCCTCCCTTTCTCAGTCCCCCGACCCCGCCCTGCACCCGACTGCAGCCCAAGCCTAAAATCTGAAGCCCTTATTGCCATGCCAGACCTGCCCCGACTCAATACATAGCCAATAACCCTGAATCCCAACCCCTGAAACCCCGAAACCCCAAAGCCATTTAAACTCCCCAGGTGCCACAGAGGAACTGATGGCACAGCTCCAGAATCAGGGATTTATGGGTTCGGCATCTGAACCTAGAGGCTGGCCTCAATGCGAAGCAAGACCAGCTCATCTTGCTGCAGAACGCAGCCATAGCTGCGGATCCTGCAAGCCGAGTATGGCTTCCTGTGTCCGTGCTGCGGCTCGGGCCCGCCTCCACACGGCGGCGACGAGCAGGCTTCCCTGAGCTGCGGCGCGATGCACGACGCACCACGAGCCCGGCGCGAGGCGCGAGTGGCTCTCGGGACCGAGGCCACGGCCACAGAGAGCAAGAAGGGCATTATCACCACTGCCTGGCGGGGGTCCATGGCTTGTCTGCAGAGCACACAAAAAAAATACCTACTGAGCTTCTGTACAGCAAGTTCTCTCCTGCCTTGCCAGGAGCAGGGCAGTCGCCCTGGCAGGCCGCGGCAAAAGCCAGCATCGAGGCGAGCAGCCCGGCGCCTTATGTGCACGTGCGTGCGTGCGTGCGTGCGTGCGTGCGTGCGTGCGTGCGTG